TTATTAGTGTGTTCAATTATGTTGTAAGTTTAGGCTTGTACTTGTTGCTAGTTTTCAAAATGTCTGGGATTAAGATATAAGAAACAGAAACAAAAAATATAAAGTGTTTCTTTCCTTTGGAAGAGCGATTTTCTATTTCTGTGCCTGCATGCTGCAAAAACATGTCTTGGAACCTAATTCTGAGTTCAGCTGAAAGTCCTCTCCCACAGGAAACTGAGGATGCCAGACTTATGAAAAGGGTTTTTATCGCTGTCTTAAATTGAAGGTCTATCTAATATCGGCAATAACTGATTAAACAACAGTATTGTCGCAAATGGACGTCTGTTGTATATCGGCCATAACAGATTTCATGATGTATTGTGGAGGGAGGATTGGATACAGGTCCCAAACGATGTGATCAGATGATGCCATCTTGCCTTACCATAAAATAACACAAGTCCATATTGAATTTATTTGATCAGATGCTGAAAGCATTGATGTCAGAGTTTTCTGCTGCAGCTAAAGGTGTTGATGGACAAGGTGTTGACAGGGCCAAGTGAGTTCTTTCTTCCACTCATTTCAGTACTGTATTATGTTAGTCTTGTGTCTCGCTCTTTCTTTGAAGGATGTATAGAAAAACTGGTGAATTTTCAATCTTGAGAATTATCCTGACTCTTCATATTGACTTTTCTGTCATAAAAGGGAGACTTCCAAGCCCAGGGATTGCACCTAGGAATCATAGGACACTATTGTTTGTTGTTTACAAAATTAATCTATCTTTTGTTAGCCATTGTTATTTTAATCCAGAAAGTAAATTTGTTGCGAGATTAGGCTTAACTGGAAGTGCCCCTTTAAAGAAAACAATGAAATCTTACTAACAGTGTACACTGCTACAAAGTGTCATGGTTTTTCCTGACTTGGAACGTGTTTTACCATGGTAAACAAAAACTAATAATTGTGTTTTTACAGGAACCAGCTTAAGGCCAGTCTTCTGATGGCGTATGAGAATCCTGATGATATCTTTGAAGACATAGCACTGCAAGCCACTACAACAGGAAGTTATGTATCGATTGAGGAAGTCGTCAATAAAGTAGATAGCATTAATGCTCAGGATGTCTCTAATGTAAGGATCACTTATTTTCCTTTGTCACTAGGTGGTCCTCTTCCACATTTTGGCTACTCTTTGAGAAAATCCTGGTTCAGTTTAGTTAGGTTTCAAGCTTACACCATACCTTGTCTTTTGAATATACGTGGTTAGATGGAAATGTCCATCCATAGTAAAGGCCTCTATGCTTTTGAAATGAGAGTGAACATGATATTTAACTTTTGTTCTTAATTTGTGCAATCAGAGTTTAGTTTAGACTAGACGATTTATAGAATTTTATTTTAAATAGGGAAATTATTGTCCACTTCTTTTTGTGAAATTCCAAAGCACGGGCATGTACAGTGTACATGTGTACTTCGTTTTGCGAAAAGTGGTCTGCTTTATCTGAATATACCCTCGTTCTGTCAATTTTCAACCATGGAACATGAGGGTGGCGTAAATCAATCAACGAAATATTTGTGATGATAATCTCTCTGAAGTTTAAGATCACATCATTCTTAAACAATGTAAACTTATGTCTGTGTAAATTAAAGTGCAAAGTAAAGAAAATTAACTACTTACTCATGAGTTTAACCTTGCTTTCCTCAATGTGTGAATACTCCATTGACTTGCACTGCAAATTTGAAAAGTGTCATTCCATGTTCTAAATTATTGAATCCTTGAACTCACCGTAACATCACTTTCTCTTCAAGTATTCGTCCCCTCTCTCTCCCCAACTAATAACACTTACTATTCTATTTTTTTTTTTTTTTTTTCAGCTTGCTAAGCGCATATTCACGAAGAAGGCCACACTGGCAGCTTCCGGTAATCTTATCAACACACCATACGTCGAAAATCTTCTTTGAAATGAACAACTCCACAACTAAACTGAGTGACTGATGTATATTATGATAATTCAACGACAGTGCTTTTTATTGTTGTCTTGCTTTATAACAGTTATTGTCTGTTTTCTTCTCTGAAAAAAAAAATTGTACTTCATCTCTTCTGAAGATTTTGTTCAGCGTGTGGAAGACATGATCATATTTTATCAAATCAAATAAATGGTTTGCCATCCCCTAGGTTTATTGTTTTGTTTTTTATTCCAGTAAAATATTACGTGTGTGTTCTTACACTTGAGGATGGATTCAATGTTCTGCAACTCCAGCATGGGAAATCACTCTAATAAATGAACGCTAAAGTGAACACTATGTGTTCTAGAATTTCCCTTGTTTGTTTGGTTTGTCAGAACAAATAGAAATTTAAAGAATGAAAAAAAAAAACCCTTTAAACTCGATTTTTTGTTTTTGGAGTTAGAGGTGGGTGGTATTTTAAACTGTTTTTGCTGCTATAAATTTTTTCAATTTGACGAGTCATCCAATCCCAATGAAATAACTGCGACAAACTTTTAATTTTTTTTTCCTACTCTATTTTATGAAAATAAAAGCGTGTTTAATTAAATATTTTTTTGCGCATGACACTTATTTTGCATTCATCTTTTGGACAAACTAGAAAACTCGCTTGAGCAGCGAGTGTGTGGAGCGTTCAAATCTTTAGAGTTTCATCTTGCCATGGGTACAAATTTAAATGAATAATTCTCACTATTACAAATTCTGCAACTGTCACACAAGATTTCTATGGGCTCTGTGCGCGCTGCTGTGGAACGCCGGTCGAGCCGGTGAAAATTCGAGAAAACAACACAAACTCAACTTTGAAGTAATCCCGAACAGCCAAATTTATATATGTTACACACGTAGGGCTAATCTTGTTGCACTGTTCAGAGGAGTCTCAACAATCATCCCAAAGTACCGTTTTCTGCGAGTTTTGGGTCTTTGTTTTCACCGCCGCAGGTTGCCAGGCGGTGAAAATGCCCGGATGTCCGCCCCCGAGGATAGCATGTTCCAGCAGGTCTGGTGGAGCAGCGCCACCACAGGCAAACAAGAGAAAATGCATATGGTATCCGATTTGTGCATGTACCTAATACTATTAGTTGTATGAATGCATGAATGAATGTACATACAACAAACTGAAGAATCACTGATGAACCCGAGATAAACCCGCTCATTAAATAATTCCAGTTTTGAACTGCATGATGTAAATATTTGATATTTGATAAAATAAACAATATACATTCATATATATTTACACTCACTGATTGATAACCTTGGCAATGAGGTCATGTGAAATTTATTATGACTGTGAAGGGCTTACACTCGCGGTATAAATTACTGTCAGTTCATATGCATTGAGGGCAGCAGGTATGTTGGTAGAACCCTCAGTCCTGCTACGTCATCAAGGTTGTATTGATTGAATAGCATGTTGCTGCTGATCATAGACTATCTCATTCACATCAAACATATGTGCCCTCTTTTCAATCCGTGTTAAGTGCTCACATTATTGCGAGCCACGACCACAAACACACGCACATTCTGTTACACTTTCAAGCTACTCTCTCCCTGTTTGTTGGACTGGTAATCCAGGACCGATTTCCGCTGCGGCAACCTGTTGGAATTTATACCAGAAAGAAAGAATAACTAAAATTTTCAACACATAGTTATAAATGTTGCGAATCACCACAACGGTTTCCAAAGTTTCGGATCACTTGTACACACAGGATTTTGATCTGTACAACATAGCGGGTGAGTGTTTGTTGTTTTTTTCATTTTTTTTTGTAAATTGGTGGGTTTTTGACATATGTTGTAGCTTTACTCAAACAATAGTTACCGGTATTCCCATGAATACAAAATATCAGAGAAGTATATAATGTTTATGCCACAGACAAAGAAATTAAAAAAAAATATTTACAATCAGTGTTTATTTTTAAATCTATTTGTTTTTACTGAGATTTCTTTAATGTACACAATATTTCATATCAGCAAGTTATGATATTTATAAACTTGATTTTTTTTTACTTCTGGTAGTAATCGAAAAGTGTCAAAACATACACCAGTATATCAGATTTTGAGAAACTAAAACAAACATAATCAGAATTCATACACTAAAACTATGTAAATAAAATAAATGTTTTATTTTTAAACTAAAACTAAAGAGATAATATTTAACCGTTTTGGATTGTATTGTGCAATTGTAATTTTGGAATTGTCTTTGTTTTAAATTCAAGTCTATTAAAAAAACAAACACTGATTTGTCAGTATTACCGATAATTCACTAATTTTCTTGTTTTGACGTCACTTATATTATTTGTCATATGGAATTGATAACAAAACAAGTCTTCATTGATAATTTGCTTAGATATGACCTTAGGGTATGAAAAGATGAGGCAGCTGTGAAAAATCGTACAAATACAAACTGATCAGTTCATCAATGAAATTCTCGAAACCGACTTACTCAACCACTTTCACTATGTATTCTACTTACGCAAAAATTCAAAACAAAATAGCGCCAAGTCTTGTTTGTTTTTATTATTTAATGTTACATTGAGAATAATTATTTTAAGATGAATCGACTTTTTAACTCGTCAAATAGTTTAATGTAAATTTTGGAACGGTAGTTCGATTTTCGTGTGGCAATCCCGTGCCTGTATCGCCGTAGCAAGTTGGAGTAAACTGTCCAGCATTTGCATATTCATCAGTAAAGGTTCGCTGACATTTGAGAAGGGAGAGAGGGGTTGGTGTACTACAGCCAAATCGCGATATTATTGAGTGAATTGTTGTAAATGAACCAACGATTTAAGAAATGGCTCTGAAGAATTCCTTTGGGAGACGTTCAAAGCAAGGATATCGTGGTGGTAAAGTGTACGGTACGTATCCCATGTCGACAGAAACACGATGTTTTGCAGAACCGATGATGCGACCATGTCGATAGCTCGACTTGTCTTCTTGGAGTATTCTGTTCTTACTACGTCAAGACATCGTGAGCATAAATTATGCGATTTCGCTCAAACGTATAAATTATTATAATTTTAGTTGGTGATAGAAATCAAGTTGTGACGACACGGCATTGATAAGAGAGGCATCGCACCTGTGTGTAGAGCATTTTCCCGTGTGTGTATGCACACCATGTCGATCAGATATTTGCTGTTCTGACCGACGTGCCGTTTTGTTCGTGTTTTCCGGGATCGTTGCTCACTCACTGTATATAAACATGACAATGCCTTGGAAACTGCAGTCGGTTGGTCCACCGTGTCCGGGAATTATACCCGGTCATACATTTAAAGCACGTAAGCGATCGTTTTATTTTATCATTGAATGAATGGACTGTGTCACCCTTTTTTGCCGGTTCGTATGTTTATTTTGAACACAACTCAAGTCCTTTGATCAAAAATGAACTCAACAACCAGTCCAAACCATATCCATCCTTCCTGCTTATCAATGCAATTTTAATTGTATTTAATCCGTTCACCGCTTAGCACTCGGCCTAAATCAATCCTTCTACAAATGTTGCTTTTTACTATTTTTAGACGAATGCAATTTTTACGCGACGGTTTCTCTCAGTGACGCCGGTATAAATCATTCCAATTATTCTATGAAATTCATGTTGCCGTATCCCCCGACATTATCTCCAGTATTTAAGAATTATGAAAATATCGTAAAATAATATAATAAAATACAGCAGATGAACTAAATCCAGTTGCCATTTTGAATATTACGCATTTTCCGGCTTTTGACGTCATACACATATATTTGAATATTTGTGCTACGTTTCGTCGTCTTTCGTGTGGGCGCAGACCTGGTGATATTAATACGTTTATTAGGTCAGTAATTATTTCCGTTATACCCCTCCAAGAATGTATTCATATTTCAAAAAACAACAGTATTGTCTATTATTGTATATAATAAGTATTGGTCATATCGTGTCAACTGACACTGATGACATTATTAGATTATTTTTGTTTTAAAATCATTAATTATTTTATACCTATATTTTGACTAATTAATGAAGGCTAGTATCCCACTCTAACTAATCATCCCATATCTAAATTATAAATTAACATAGTACATTTTCAACTAATTGTGTTGGCTATTCATGTTGAACCTTTAATTTATTTTGTTTCAATTAATCTGTTTAATTAGTATGAATGCCATACAATTACCAGTGTAGTTGTTTTTGTACCATTTGCCTAAATCACTATATTATTTCGATTTGAGCATTTGTGATTCGCCCCAGATGCAGTCATTTCAGTTACTGGAAGTCCCTAACCCTAGATCTTAATCAGAGCTCATAATCTTCTTATTGATAAATATTGTGAAACCCAATATTATTTTGAATTATTCAAAAATTAAAGGCACTGTTTTATAATAGGTTTTATTGTACTAAAAATTTTTTTTATAAGTCAGACCACCTGTTAATACAGTCATGGTTTTATGGCGTCTCACGAGCAAATATGTGTACCATGTACTCTATGTTGTAGCTATAGGGCGCATGTTCAATGACTAGTTTGTACTTGTGCTGAAAAAATACAGGTGTTCACTGCTGTTACATTTACTGTACTTGCTCTATTAGAAGTGCATCTCTCTCAAAAAAAAATTGCAGATATACTGCATGTTGGATCATTGAAATATGAATTACAGCCAAAACAAAGTCAGCTTGAACGTTCAGTTGCGAGACGTGAGAAAATAAACGCAGCGAGTGCTACATTTTGAAAATAAAAATACAAAATAAACGCAATCAAATGCGCGGGCCACGCGCGTTGGAAATAAATAGAACGCGTTGTGACACAGTCTTACCAGCCACTCACGCAATATAATTATGCTATTTTCAAACGCACTGTGCATGTGGGAAAGCGATGAGTGAACTCGAGCAAAATTATGCTAGTGTGAGAACACGCTATATACCCCGCGGAGTACTCGCTATAACATCGAGAAAATTTGCCATTTCAAAGGGCACCTCTTACAAATAATTGTCTGCGAATTTGTGAACATAACGTGCAAACAAGAATATAGCAAATTATGTTTTTTTCTGTAATATTCGTGTGTAATCAGTAATTATGAAGATAATTTATGGGTGCATATGGAATACGTTTCGTTAAGAATTATTCTTAGTATAAATTTCTGAATTATCTTGTCAAAATTATTTTTTTCAGGTTTTTCTAAGGTCTATGCCCCATCTAGTATTCAAATATTCTTTGAGGCATTGTTCAAAAAATCCTGGACAAGGATTTGTCTCTTCCGGTGTTTTTTTCCTTGCCGTAGTATACAGAAATAGCACGAGTGTGTGCGTTTCCGTGAGTAAAAGAGGCAGGTGAGACTCCTTGCCGCAATGCGTTCTATTCATTTCCAGCGCACGTGGTCGGCGTCTTTGATTGCGTTTATTTTGTTGTTTTATTCTCGAAATGTATCACTGGCTGCGTTTATTTTGTCATGTCTCACAACTGAACGTCCAAGCTGACTTTGTTTTGGCTGTATTTTGACCACAGACAAACTGTTGTCATTTACCTATGTGTATGCATTACTAATAGATCCGTGCACAGTACATATATAGATGAGCCCTTAGATTAAACAGTGCTATGTATTCAATGTGAGTCCCATACTATGTCGCATAGCAACCTATATGTTTATGGATCAAACGTGTCTATTTAGACAAAATGTGAAAGCATGTGATCATGACGAGCACCATTTTTTACTAAAACAACATTTTGACACTGACGTTGTCGCAGTGGAATGTGTGCTAGTGCTCATCTGTGCTCGCCATTTTGTTGTCAGACATGCCCATATTAGGTGAACAAATAATGTCAGAGTGAACTGGCCTATAGATACGTTAGGGTATGCTCATTGATTGTTGAACTTAGTTTTGCTATCTCCATTCTGACATACTGCAAAAAAGTAAGGGCAATTAGGGAGTCCTATACATTGTATTGTCACATTGCCCACTTTGCTGTACATAGCTCACTTGTTCAAAAAACAGCACTGCAGCAACTTGTTATCGGGTCCTGGATACCAGCATTAATACTAAACAGAACATTTTTTATTTTGGTCAACACTATTTTTGTTGATTGCATGGCAATGAGATAAACCTATGATATGGTCATTTTTATCACTATTCATAAAAATACAAATTTAATTAATTTTTTCCTAAAGAAAATTATTCATTCAAAACATTTATTTAAACTGGTTTCCAATCAATCAAAAGAGGGCCCAATTTAAAAAATTTCCCAGCAAGCCCCTCTGTTTACATTATGCAGGCTAATTATATCAATATCCCTTCTGTTTGAAGTATGTAGACTTCTCTTGGGAGGGGAATGGGTTTGACCAGATGTGGATGTCTTTCTAGCCAGAATGCTGTGGATGAGTTGTTTGTTTACACTGGTTTGTACCTTTCCTACATGTGAACATTGTCTCATTGCAACTGTATTTCACGCTCTGTTCCGACCGAAGCCCAGACTCGATCGTTTTACATATTCAAATAGTTATATTTATATCTGGGCAATGCAGCCACCATTGGTCTCCAGGGACGTTTTTTGTGGAAAAAAACTGCAACATGAGATGTTAATATCTTTATTATAGGACATGATTGTTTCCACTCATGATCAACTAGTACCCTGTATTTAACCCCACCCTTCAATACAAGCATGCAATGACTTGATGGTATAAGCGGTATTTGCTGCCTCACTTGTTTAATGTGAGTGCTGAATATTGTAAGCTACATTGTAAGAGATACATTTTCTTAAATTTTGCGAGTCTGTGAAAATTGTGGAATTTTGTAGCACTAAAAATTTCTCCGGTGTCCTACATGAAATTGAAAAAAATGTTATCAGTGACATCTAAATGTTTTGCAGTAGCGAGTTTCCAGATGAAAATGTAATTTACATTTTTTGCAAGCAGGTTTGAATGGTGAAAATAATTATGCAAATTACGATTTCTGTAGTTTCTCAAACGTCTTGGTCAAACTTTGATTTTATTTCTTTGAGTTTAAAATGTGCAAATAAAACTGTCTATGTCAGTTTAGTAAATTTTCAGACCACTGAAATCGGCACACTTAATTAAACAGGCAGTTTATTCGCTTTTCAATTCCTGTACATATATACATATTCCTTCAGTGAATATTGGTGTTGGCACATTTCACTAAATATCGCAAACTTGCGTTCATGTTTTTCACCTACTTAAAATGTGGATGATTTTATGTTGAATGTGGTTGATGCCAAAATCCGTCTGAATGCCCGTGACACATACATAATACAGGTGACCTGGCTTGAATAGTTCACAGTGCGATGTACAAGGTAATCCTCTGTTTAGTCTGTAACATTAAAAGTATGTTTTTCAATAGAATACTTTAAAATAAAAAGTATTTTGAAATATTAATTAAATCACAAATTTTCTCAACAAATTTCATACAAGTGTCCCCTGATATAAATTGTTTTTAAAGTTGCATTCTGGGAGCATAGAGAAAAAGATAGCTTTCTTGGGGGTATTGGGACTATTATAACATATTTTATTGTCTGAATTAATTAATTGTGGGAAATACATAATGTATGTTCAAACTGAAAGCTTTTCAGTACATTTGAATGCTGTGATCGTTTTGTGTTAAAAAATCACTCGATCGTTAGGTCAGTCAGTTTGCTGTCAATACCCAAATATTATTGATCATTCCTGTAGATTCGGTTGTTAGTATTCAGTACCGGTATCTTAGGGTGTCATTAGGCCATATCGCAAGCAGGACTTCCCAAGCAGGTAGTTCAGATACGACTTTCTTAATAAATCAAACAGCTGTGAATTTGAGGCCCTTTCCTTCTAAATTTGTATGACATTTTTTGCCACTGCGCCCAAGCAAACTTCAAATATAAAATATTTCATCAAAATGTATACCATACAGTAATGCTTCATTCATAACTAGTTTATAAATATTTCAAACCTTGACTGCGTTGTCTCCCAAAAAAACTGTACACAATGGTTATATCTGATCAGACACTGATTGATCAATTACACTTGTGTGCTGTGTGATCTTGTGGGAAAAATATAACCTCTTACATTTTCTATGTTGCAATTTAATCAACACTAGTAACTGTAAACTACCATATTTTCCATACAAACTATGCAAACCACATACTATTTTCTCTTGACTCACCGATAACTATACTGCATGACAAACAGTGAGATGGAAACGTATGACTGCAAATAAGATACTGATAATAACTATTTTGTAATTGATTTTTGTGGTGACCCACATTTGTGGCAAGGTGGCCTACATTGAGACTGACTTCCATGAAATGCGACATATTCCAAATATGTTGAAAAAGGTAATACAGCTAAACCTGTCTGATTGAAGTCAATAGAAAAATACTAGGAAAGTTACTTGTTTAAAGACGCATTTATGGTTTATGATAGTATGAGGCTATTACGTTTCTGTATGTGATGCCTGAATTCACTTGTATTCTTGTGAGAACCATATTTTTATCACAGTCCCTCTCTATCAGGAGGACTGTTATTAACATATTTTCATGCCTATAGTCATAATGTAATGAGAAACAGCCTAAAATTTCCAGCAAAAAGATAAATTTCTGCACCTGTGTCATACATTCTGCGTCCGGTGTAAACAAAGGCACATTTTCAAATTTGATTTTTATATGACACTGTAAACTGAGATCAGACTTCTCAAGTTAGAGTGAACCAAGTGAGTACTAGTATTAGTCACTAAATCCGAGAGGAGAATAACGCACTGGAGAGGAGCACTTGTAGCCAAGGTGTTTATTGCTCAACTGATAGGCCTGGAACTGAGTCTAAATACTTACGAGATGTTTCATGACAATGTCTCAATATCATTATGCAAATAACTAAACTAAACGTCATAGCCTCAAATCATTACATTCACACATTTCTCAAATAAGGAAGATGTCTTAAACTCGTGAAATGTGTCCATTACACTTGCAAACATACGCCTGGATTATATTGTTTTCACGACAAGATGTACAATAACAGATGTTAATACATGGCAGATAAATTAGCTAAAATAACATGCTAGCTGGGAATACCAGGGTTCTTCCCAGGACATTAAAGAATAGGGTTTTAATTTTTGATAAATAATGGAGTCCATTTAGCATAATGATAAATACAATAGAGGTGATACTCTTTGCTTTTTTTCAGGAGGGAACACTGAATATGTGTTGTAACAATACATACAGAAACAAATAATAAGGCAATCAAGTAATACCCACTGTACGGCCCTAGTGTAACTTAATATTTTAAGATTTAACCCTTTGAGCACCAAATTTGCACTGTTTTACTATCCAAAACTGTTTTTCTCAAGTTTAAGTTTTGATTCAGTACAGCTCATTGGGACATCGTCAAATCAAGCGTGTTCAGGCTTTGACATTCAAACTCGCACTTATCGTTCAAAATGAGAAATACGTCTGGGTTTTTTAAGAAAACGCTTTGTCACCGAATAATAGTCTGTTAAAGGTGCCATGTATGAAATAATTAGGGAACAAAAAAACAAACCTGCATAGAAATCAGAAAAATATGTCTTTTGATTACCGGGAACACATTTCAATTGACTTGATTACGGACAATGCATGACGTAAATTTCATCCGGAAATTCCACAATGTGCACTTGCAATTGTCATTTTTACAAGGTTTGCTATTTTTGTTGTCACGTGGTACTTGTGTAAACAATGGCTGTCCAGTTGCGCGAACTTATCCCTCTATACTTATGCTTTTGAATCATATACATTAAATTACGGTTCTGAATGAAACAATAGACAGAGAATGCTTTTATTCAAAAACGTCATCAAACCCTTCCTGCTACCTTAAGAAGATTGGGACAAAAATAGCCAAATTTTGAGGGAAAATTGACTATAAAACTAGAAAAAAAGTGAAGAAAAATTTGGGTGAGAAAGTCTAGTGGTGAAAAGGTTACGCTGGTTTAAATAGCTTGTTTTCAGAACCATATTATATATTATGTGTATCTAAATTAATTTACATAAAGTAATTAGCATAATTGTCTCATAATAATAGTAACTCAGATAAATACTAAAAAAATTATGCTGAAATTACAGATAACAATGATACTCTTTAAAAGTTTTTTATGAAAAGACAAAGCCAGCTCGAAGCCAGCTTGGGAGTTAAGTTACCGGTATGCCCAGACTGTAATGAATAGACTTTGTCAAGCCTGGTGGATGCACGTCTTTGAACCTGTTTTATTTGTGACTAGGATCGAAATAAAGAGAGCCTGTTGCTCTAATGGTTCCCAGGCTGCTATCTTTACTATACCAAGAAGTCGACTTGGTTCTCTACATGCCTCATTGCTGCCACATACATTATATTAATTATCATATTATATTCTGACTTCTCATTTACATGGTACTATATGCTTCACCAGATCTCTTTTCATCACAATAATTCGCCGTAATTGCTCTCTGAATCATATTCCATCTCCATTGACCCTAAAAATGTTGTATGTGTCCTGGTTTTTTTTTTCTCTGACTGGCTCAAAGATTGTTGTAGCTTAACTTGGCACCCGCATGTTGTCTCCCAAGTTATATAAGATTTCTATCCCTGCTTGGCAGTGGTGGATCCAAGATCCAGAGAATACTGCTTGAGACATCCAATGATTTGTCATGCCATTCATTACCGTTTTTGCTACATTCTGTCAAATCTAACTAATACCACACATGCATAAGTGGGTGTATGCCTGGATTGGTCATTGCATGGTGTCTGAGTATTGTGGCTGAACACTTGTATAACCGCAGCCTGGTACCATGTGCTCCATAGTAGTTTTTAGAATGTCAACAATGGTGATTATACTGATGAACAATTCCAGTCTGAAACCTGTAGTACACAATGAAAGTATATTCACAAGAAGACTTTTGTACGCTGTATTATTAAAACACTGTGTACGGTTCATACAAGAGCTTTGAAATTATAAACCAGTTTAAAGGTGTCTCTTGTATAGCATTTGTTATTTTTGTGTACGCACACAGACTGTGGTATACACGATGATTGCCACGTTGACATATGTATGTGATTACACTTACAATGATAAACCACTTGACCTCCTTTCATATAGGTATGTGACATGAAATAAAAAAAAAAATGAAGTGGTTTTCAATTTGCGCATTATGGCATAGAGTTATAGCTCCTTCTGATCTGTATGATTTATCATTGCATGGTTGCCATGGAAATGACTTATGTTAGTCGGGGCTGAATTTTGATGTTCTTGACATTAATGTGGATGTCAATAAAAGGTGTCTGGCATATTCTCCAAGATGATTGTCTATATTCGCATGACATTTTAAGTCAGAATAATTTATAGTATAAGTTATAATTATAAGTATAATTTTGTAGCCTTTAGCAAAATAAATCCCCATTTTTTTCAAAACCTTTGATCAAGCAAGTCCTGTCTATAATGGGAAATTTGGTGCAAAATTAACTAAGATTTTACAGAAAAATACAAAAAATGTGCTAAATGTTGGTAAAAAAAAATTTAGTCTTTTTTTTTTTCAAATGATTAATTTGTAGATTTTTTCAAACTTTAACTTGTGATTTTGCACACTTTTTAAATTTAAAAAAAAACAATAATTGCTAAAATTTTATTTTCAATTCACACAATTCAAATTAAGACAAAACTTTTTCAGAGAAAACAAACCTAAATTTTAAAATGTGTTGTATTGCCATATTCAAATCAGTTATTGATGATGCAAATAAAACATTACACATTTTGTTATTGGAGCGATAATCAAATTTCTATTGCTGAAATCTGTGTAAACCATTTTTTGTTATTAAAAAAAAATTTAAATCTGTCACTGGATGCAAATTACTATACAATTTGAGGTAGATATGCATTGTGACATGACGTCATCGCCAAGTCATGTTGCCATGGTTACCATTCACAGTTGTCAAGGTGATAGCCCTGATGATAGAGGGGATAGTTTCTAGATATGATCAACATTGCAGCCAAACCATGGTGAACTCATAACATGCAGTGCCAACACATGGGAGGCTGTTGTTTGTATTGAATTTGCAAAAAATTAAAAAAAAGCTTTACAAAAAATGTTTGTTTCACAGTATTTTTCCTCAACATGGTGCTTAGAAAATAGTCTTGTTTGTGCTCCTGGCATCCAACTGTTAAACCCCAGTTTAAAAGGGAAATATTCGTTATTATTTATAAATGTTTGGTATTATTACAATTACAACAAAAATGAAATTAATATGTGAATTTCCACTAACATGTGCAGTCACTTTAAAATGTCAAATACCAATGCTCACTTAAGCCTTCACCCCAACCTATAATCAATCCCTTCCCAAATCTGTCAATGCATTATTTAATTTTTTTTTTTCAGAATTTAATAACAAATTGAAATAAAAATTTGGTTTCCATGCAAAATCATAAATTTAGTGACAATTTCTAAATAATAATAAAAAGCTGCCAAGCACATCAATTTTAGAAAAAAATAGAACAGAAACATGAATATTTGTTCAGCCTTTTTGACAATTTTAAAATAAATGTTAGGAAAACAAATTTACCCAGAGACACTTTTTGACTTTTTTTCTGTTCCTTATACTGCTGGTCAAGTTCTAAATTTTATACTTAAATACTGCTAAAACAAGTTGTTTTAGTTATTCATCGAAGTACAGTTATTACTGACCTACATGACTTGTGATAATGATAAGTGTAATAATTAATAAATCATAAAATTTTTCAATTTATTTTATTTTCTTCAACAGCTGAGACTCTATCTGAAGATGAAGATGATGTGTTTTTCAATGATGAAAATCCAGACAGTATAAATCCCTCTCATTCGACGATATTAAACATGAGTGGTCAGCCAACGTTTCGTCCCACACCGGGTGGACCATTTTCAGCATTGACGCCGAGTATGTGGCCGCAAGATATCCTGGCTAAACTGGCACAGGTAATAAGAAAGTGGTGCATGCTCTGATATGATGTTGACAGTTGTACACTGCATAATTCTGACAACCTGAGAATTCAAGAATTGTTATATAATGCTGTTCTGCGACATAGGAATAATTATTGCTTTTCTGTTTCGTTTTGTTTTTTGAAGATGGGGGGGGGGGGGGCTTTGCTCAAAATTGAATTTTTGCAGACATCCTCAAAATGCAATTTTAGAGTTTTATAGTTTAGTTAGATTTTATTAATAAGCTTTTTTTTATTGATATGCTTAACAAAACAAAGATACAATACACAAATACAATACAGGTTACTACACAAATACAAACCTATACTTCAAAATAATCAATGAATTCTCCCCATTTTTTATTATGACTTCCCTGTCTATTTTCTATAACTGCAACTTTATTCTCTGTATGGTAAATTAATTTGATATATGATCTAAAACCACCAATGTCTGGTTTTGTTCCAACAATTTAACATTTAAATATATAATAGCGTGTCAATAATAATATAGTATTACTGGTATGTAATGGTCTAGCATTGTATACATCCCCCAAAATACATGTGACTGCACTTTAACGTCAAAGTGTCACCTGTAATGAAAGAAAACCATTCATTGACTGATGTCCAAAATACAAATACATATCTACAGTCCCAAAATAAATGAAAGTAGTCTTTCTCAACTTCTCCACAAAAAGAACACATCATTTAAGCCCCACAAGCACAACAACCCATTTGAAGGCAATATTTTCATATTAATTTTATATTGAAAATAGCGTAATTTGGCATTGGTAGTAATAGAAAAGGTTGCAAGGTAAATATTTTTCCAAGGTAAAGAGGTGTTCAAAATGTCCAGCCAATGTTGCTTTATAACTGAGGGGGTTGAATCAGGAAATTCCTCATGACAATTCCAAAGGTAAATACTTTTATTAACCTTAGTTCCTGACAGCCAGATATTGTTATTCATGTTTGGCATACAGACCATTAGTTTTGACATGTTATATTCAACAATACTGCGCTTCCAAATAGATGCAATTGCTGATAATAACTGTCGATATTCAAATTGAGTACATATATTCCTGTAGTTTGATACCAAATCTTGAAACGTGTAAAAAGTACAGTCTGCATTTAAAAGATCATTAATAAATATTATACCGTGTTGTATAAAACGTTTCCAAGCAACAGTCGTGTTGTCAATAAGAATATTAGAATTATAACATATTAGTTCTTGAGGTATATTTTCTATGTTTATTACTTGCACTCGTATAATTATACTGCAACCATGCTAAAATTAAGTCTTTTAGAAATCTTGATCGAAAAGGGTTGAACTTAAATAGGTCTGGTTTACCCAGCTTAGCGAAGTAAACCAGAGCACCACCAAAGTCAGGAAGAAAGTACCGGTATTTAAATATTTTACTACAAAAGGAAGTATCATTATGGTAAATACGCGGAATCCAAGCTGCTTTCAAAGATTTATTGAATGCCCCTGAATTAGTAAGTTTAACACCACCCTTCTCATATGACTTGTACAGTTTCGTTTAACAAAGTCTCTCCTACCACCCCAAATAAACGGGAAAACAATATTTTCATATTTCTTAAGCTTAGATTAATTAAATCCTCATGAATTATCAATAATAGATCACTTTCGTGTTAAAATTAAAAAAAAAAGTTTTTTAGGTAGCACATGTTATATTCATACTTCATACTATTTCAATAGTAACATAATTATACACCAAGGGTCTCTAGTTTTTATAAATTAGATCATCATTTGGGGTGTGAAGAACTTAAGGTTATTTGCACTGAATTACAATTTTACACTTCTGAGTATATTACTTTGAATATATGCACTACATTCACATTGTATATAATGGAAAACTATTATCTCAGTGGAAACTCAGTACATTGAATATTCATTTTTTGAAACAATTATAATTTACATCAATAATAATAATATATATGACTATTTCGTCCAATATGTTATTGAGCAAATTTTCAAAATATGAAGAAATAATGTCACTATAGAAAGCAGTGTAAAAATGGAAATTTTGACCAATCTGTGATCGAGAAAATTTTCAAAATATGAAGAAATAATTTTACTATAGACCCCAGTGTAAAAAATGTAATGTAATGGCATTAGAGCATAATAATGAAAGAATGAAAAGAAGAACATCTGTCATCTTAATTTGGTCCAAATGTTCTTAAAGTTATTGAAGGCTGGTACTCATATGACACTCCATATCCTGGTGTTTGATATCATATATTCCCTCATCAACTCAGTACATATTGGTGGGATCATATTATTAGTACTGTATGCTTGCTTTGTCTGGCTTTGTCTGTTTGCTTTCTTTTAATGGTTGGTATATTCGGGGAAAACTTGATATCTAATACGAAACGTGATAAAATTCCCAAGTGAACTGGGAAATTAAATACTTAGCTATTAATAAAAGCATAAAGCTGCTGGGATGTTGAAATGACATCTTAACAACATACCAGATTGTTCATACAATTGTGGTATTAAGTGCTTGATACAAAGTTATTGGTTTGCATATATCATTTGATTCTACACTCTCTTGTTGTCCTACCATATTTCACAGCCCATTAGCGTGTTTGTCTTCATAAAGCATCGTACTGTGCTATTATTTGCTTTCACAAATAATTCTTTCTAGCTTCCCATGACTTGTCCAGGCAGGTTTGAATTGTTCTACCTTTCATTAAAATATAATCACACGACTAAAAATCTCCAAACCATTTTTTTCTGTATCTGCAATTTGTGATCAAACCATTAATTTGTTTTTGAGGCAATTTAAGTACATTCATAAAACTCTCGCTCAGATCTATGATTTATGCTATTAACACATACGATTTTAATAAAACAATTTATGAAGTCTACTGTATTTGCTCTATTAGAAACACATCCCTAAATATAAGTGCACGTAAACAAAAGTTGAATCTGAATTATTAGACATAGACACATGTGCCAAGTAGAACAAATGTGTTATTTTGAAGTTCAATTTTATGAAATCCAACCGAGAAAATGATGTCGCTTATAATAGACTTTGGAATAACATTTATCAAGTATTTTTGGTGGCAGACATTCAGACATTTCCGTGGCAACCCTCTCGGTGAAAACAGTACTTTGGGTACTTTGGAATGGTTGTTAAGAATCCCCTGAACAGTGTAACAAGATCACTCCTGCAAGTCCAACATACAATGTATATACATTTGGTCGTCCGGGATTACTTCAAAGTTGAGTTTGTGTTGTTTCCTCGAATTTAGATATTTTCACTGGCTTTTTGACGTCTTGTGACGTAGCTCCGCCCCGAGGATAGAGGTTGTTGCACTGTGATGTAATTTATTTACTTTTTTGCCAAATACCACTGATCAGCACTAACTCTCGATATGTTGTCACAATGTTGTTATGGAAGTTGTTTTATTAACGAGGTTACATACTTATATTTTAATAACAACTGCAACAAACATCGCCATTATATTATCCTTGGGCGAACATGCTTGCTATTCACTGTGCACTAATGTATGCACAAAATGCAAACAATTCTAGAATGTCTTTATAGTGGTACTTTTGAATATTATAATTCAGGAGCCTCATTTACAAAAATTAATTTTAATACAAGAACTTGTTTCGCTGATACAATATCTGTCATCCAATATTTATTGTTAAAACGGTGTGATTTTAAGACACATGATTAATTTCCAGATACATACGTAAAATAATATTGATGATAAAACTAAAAAAAAATAGAATGAGAGTATAATAAAAAATAATGCAAACACTTGTAAATAATTGGCAACACATGCAGATATTGGATTTTCTCTATAAAACATATTTACAAACAGTCAAATGATTTTGACATACAAAGGGTTCATTTTTATCTCTCCAAAATTAAAATTGTGATTTTATCAAATTTCATTTATTGACATTGATTCCAACTTATCTAGTTTTGAACCGATGACTTTAATGTTGTTATGGAAACAATCAAGAACTACTTTTGAGAAGTTCTGCGTCATTTTTATGAGCATGTCTTTTTTCTATACACTGCCCTCTAGTGATGTTTCTTGGGCTAGAAACATTTTTGCAAAGTGTCAGTTTTATGGAATGATAAAATCCATATGTATGTCACTTGTCAAAACAACTATCAGATTGTTTGTAACACCAGCATGATAGAGTGTTGTGAGTCTCACACTCACATTTAGAGGAACATTGTAAGTCAACAATGTATTACCGATATATATAAAGACAGTTAAGTTGAAAAGAGTGGTTCATATATTTTCAAAAATGAATAATTAAATATCATATAACACATTATAGTTGTCATGTTGATGCGCCATGTTCGATATGGGTTCCATGTGACATAGTGTGCTCATATTCATTGTTTGTTACCACACTCGCAACCTATACCGACTCAAACAAAACATACTTTTTACTTATCCACAGATTGAAGATTCAGGGAATCCTCCAGACTTTTGCTACGATGAATTTGGATTCCGTGTGGACGAGGAAGATGGAGCAGAACCGAATTCAAATAAATTATTGAGTCAGCCGCTGATAGAAGATCCGCAACACAGACTACAATGGACGGCTCATCTGGAGTTCACACAGAATCAAGACGTGGGAGACTTGACATGGAGTAAGGTAAGTCCCCACTGGGGTTTGTGGGAGTATAGTTGTTAGAATGTGAATAAGGTAACTATTTATTCTAATCGATTTTTGGTCATGTAATGAATGAATGTCACTGATTACCACTTCTAGATATAAATGAAAATAATTTTATTATAGAAACTATTGGAAAAAAAGAAGATAAAATGATAATATTTTGCTATTTTCCAAAAATTCAGACAAAAACAAATATATTTTTTTTTTAATTTTCAGTATTCCAATTGCTTAGGCACATATTATTCACAATATGAGGATATGTCATTTAATTTAATTTAATAATTCAGTCTGAACCTTCTTAACTCTGGGGCATCGTAATTTTTCCCACTAAAATTATTGCCACATTGTGTCTATTTTTATGTATATTTTTTAAATATGAAAAAAAAATTGATAGTTTTTGACCAAACAAATAATAATATCTTAACGACTAAAGGTCTTGATCCCAAAAATTTTCAAACAAATATGGGGGTGTTATTTTGTGAGAGCTCAACATGACATCAATTTGGCTTTGGTGCCAGGTTTTCAAAATGAGCTTGGTTTAATAACAACTGTCAATATTTACAAAAAAAAAAAGGAAGAATACAGAAATGAATCAAAGGCTGTAAAAGCAGTTTTCAAATGTTAACACAATATATGTTCTGTCTGTAATGTAGTCTAAGTGTGTGGGTGTATATATACTCAAGAAAATGCTAAGAACTATATTTCAAATGTCAGTGTGGGAGAGAATATATATATACTTAACATTTATAATAAATGTAAAGCTTTGGGGATATTATAACCCATGTATCTTATTCAAATGTCAGCTAGAATTAAAGATTTGTACCGGGTACAATGTATATTATGTCTACCCTTGGGTGCATGTACAGATATATTTCCGGAACCTTCCTGAGACCTTTCGCATTTATTTTTTGACCTCTGTGTACAATATCGTCATCTGGTTACGTGTCCCCATCAGATGTTTATCACTTTAGAATATGCTAGTCCACGTCTACTTGTATGTTAATACAATGCTGAGTGTGTGTGTGCTGATTATAGAAATATCAAATAAATAAAATTTTGCAATGTGTGACGTATCTTGCGTGACCACTCTATGTTCGTGAATTAGTTATTAAAATCAAACTGTTTTACCAACCCACACTTTAATTCGATGTAATTTTTCCCGGAAGTGCACTGTTGCATGAACAATAAGTTATATATATATGTATATGTGGGTGTTTTTTAAATGTACAAAACAAAGACTCAGTGTTTTGAAATAATTTGCAAGCTGTGTAGCTAGGATTTAATAAGTCTGTATATATCATGTATTTCGTTTTGATTAATTTAACAATGCCGTGCACAGCGCTGCAGGATCTATGTGTCAACTGGTATACAGTTACAATGCAAACAAAATCCCCTATTACATGTATGCCAGAACTGTATCTATAATCCCTGTTATTGCTATTAGAAAACCAGTCACATGTCTGTTTGACATCGCCTCCCACAGAGAGCCATAAATGAATGAGCAATCGGCAAGCCAGATTTGAAATTATGATGATTTTTTCAAGTAATTATCACATTTGTTAATAAACTTCTGTGACATCTTCTGTTTACAATGTTGATCATTTATCGATATTTATAGGTCGATGCCTGTTTGCCACGTTCTGACAAGTTGCGATCGTTAGTACGTGCTGGGATACCACACACCATGAGGGGTCAATTGTGGATGCGATTATCTGGTGCTATGACAAAGAAACGAGCGGCAGATACAAACTATCAGGTAAGAATGGAATTATTTTTAAATTGAAAAAAAGTTATTATTGATAATAAGATTAGCTTTTGAGTGCCGTTGTCATTGAAAATATATTCTTGCTTGTCATCAAACATAACTTTGTTGTCTCAAACATAACTTTGTTGTCATCAAACATAACTTTATTGTCATCAAACATAACTTTGTTGTCATCAAACATAACTTTGTTGTCATCAAACATAACTTTGTTGTCATCAAACATAACTTTGTTGTCATCAAACATAACTTT